CAGTCATATCTAAATGTCCAGCCCGGCGATACAGTTTGTCCCTACAAAACCCTGCACAATTTCTAAGAGTGAAATCAACTCTGTGGTCTGATTAATTATGTCAGTCGCATGTTTCCAAGTTCCTCCACTGGGTTCTGTGTCTGTAAACGTGAAAAGCACAAGAATGTAACCATATACAAATGGGAACCTGTTTTCTCCATTCAATGGACATCAATGAAATATGGCTTTTACTTAAGGCGACGTCACTACAATAAAAAATGGCTTAAAGGGAAAGATTTAAAGTAACACTATACTCATGAGTTAAATCCTAAAAATGCATTTAAGTACCTTAACTATTAACAATACTGTACCTTATTTGTGTATCAGTTGGCTGTAGATCCTCTAATCATCTCTGAATTCCTGCTGACACTGTACTTCCTTCTGGAGGGTGGATACTTCTGTTCCCCACGGTCCCTGTGTGTGTAAAGTAGTCACCACTCCAAGCTTGCTCCTGTGATGGACTACAATCTCAATACAATTTATTAAACTAAACGTGAGATTGTAGTCCATCATGAGAGCAAGCTTGGAGTTGGGACTACTTTACAACACAAACAGGGAGCATAGGAAACAAAAATACCCCCCCTCCAGAAGGAAGGACAGTGTCAGCAGCACCACTTCAGAGATGATTTGAGGATCTACAGCCGAGTGATACACAAATAAGGTACATTTTTGTTAATAGTGAGGGTACTTAAATGTATTTTTAGGATGTAATTCCTGAGTCACTTTAAAGTGTCCTTAAACTTTTTGTCCTCCCCCTCTACTGAGCTTATCTAACCTACCCTCCTTCTCCACAGCTCCATCCTTACCTAGTTGTTGCCACTACCATCCTGCAGAGAGTCCTTTCTTCCTGATTTCTATGCATCTGCAGTGGGACCCCATAGACATGCATGGGAACCATTACCTCAGCTGCTTCTCAGCTCCACAGAAGTCTACAGGGTTCTACTGTGCATGCCAGGTCTGCAGATAATTATAGTTGAAAAACATGGTTGTAAGTATAGATATGTATGTAGCTGTAAAGAGTGAGGGTGGGTTAGATGACTTCAATGCAGGATTGGGTGGGGGCAAAAACAGAAAGGAATCTGTCTGAAGACTTCCCTTATTCTTTAATAAAGCTGCCTGTATAATACCATCGTGTGCTGTGGTTCCATCTACTGCCCCTATGTCAGTAGTCCTGTGGGTTGGTGGTGGATGGAACCACAGGGTACAAAGGGAAATGAGGGAAAACAGGAACCAAATCTGTTGTATGCTGAAGAATTTTCAGCCACCGGAGCTCTTAAGGCATCAAAGATACGAGTTACTACCCTGGAGAGTTAAGTATTGCATCTCCCTTTCTGCAGGCAACATGTTTGGGCTTTTATTGTTTTTTTATTTTGTAGCCTCAGTGTCGCTTTAGGCCTCATTTACACAGCTAAGTGTCGGCCCATACAGATCCATGCGGCATGCGCGGCCGTATCGGGCTGCTCCCGGGAAGGTCAGTTGATGCGTGTGATTGTACACAGCAGCCTGTTCTTCTGTATGGGAGGATGTGGCCGTACGCTCACCCGAGCTGCACATCCGGGTGGATGGATCCTGTCTGCATCCAAGCACGGACTCCCGCACCCGTACGGATGTGCAGTTCGGGTGAACGTATGGCCGTGTCCTCCCACAGAGAAGAACAGGCTGCTGCATACAATCACACGCAGCACCTGTCCTTCTCAGGAACGGCACCATACGGCCGTGCATACCGCAAGGATCTGTATGGGCCGGCTCTTAGATGTGTGAATGAGGCCTTAAAGTCAAACCTACATTTATATTAATTTATCTTTTTGAACAGGAAGAAGAAATCTAATAGACACAGAGCAACCGAAAAAGAATATGCAGAACTTTTAACCCTTCCCTTCTTTTTATAGAAATATAAACAGAATATTGCATGCAGCAGTGATTGACAGTGTGTGGGGTATGTGAACTGTGCTATTGAAAAAAAGGCACAGATGTTATACAGTTAAGTGCTATTATAAAGTGTGCATGTTTGAACAAGACATAAGACAATGTGGCATAGGATTTGTGGTTGCACTAAATGGCTCTTTAAAAAAGTTTTCATATCCCTTGATAGTATCAGGAAACATTCAGCATTATTTACTATAGCAAAAATAAAGCATTTATAAAAGAAATCCTTAACATATCTCGTTAAAAAAATACAAAACAAATTAGCATTACACAGCTAAGAGCATATTTTTTACTGTTTTTACATAAACAATCAATTGTGAGATATTATATCCCAAAAGATTACATCTTTGAGATGCATATTTTCTAGAGCTGAGGCAAATATTTCCAACACCTGCTAAAAGAAGTCACTAAACATTACAATCAGTAAGTTATCCAGAATGACTTCTGAGATGACCCCAAATGAGGTCCAACTGATATATCAGTTTTGGGTAGACACTGATCAGTTTAAGCACCCATTACTTCTTAAATCTCAAAGAGAGTCCATGGGTGAAGGTGGCTCATGCTATTATCTACATCTCCTATTTATTTATTTATTTCCTACATTATGGACAATCCATCAAGGTGACAAGGTTTAAAAAAAAAAAAGAAAATTATACAGGCGAGAGAAAGATGTTAAAGGGTAAAACCATTCTATTATCTGGGCTCCACATTAAATATAAGGAAGTGCCCCAGGAAATTAAAGTAGGTACTAGAAAGAGATTCTATTTACAGACAAGACAGACCTCTAAAAGACATCACAGACTTCTACATCTGAGATTACAGCCAGGTCACATTGGAGATTCCAGTACTGGCAACACCTCACCAGTGACAGAAGCAGCTACAGTATATACAACTGCCAATTTCTCTAATGGAAGTTGTTCCCTCTCTGGCTGACACTCCATGATGACTTCAATTTTAGAAGATAATGTAACAGAGACCTTCTAGAATTACTAATTACAGTATAGGCAGCAGAGATCTGGTTACTAACAAAAGCAGAGGTAGAGACACTAAACAAGTGGGAATGCGGAAGGAATAAAAGGTTTTAAGGAGTATTAAAGGGATGGAGAATGGAAAAAGTAGGAAATCTACAATTGCTATGAATGTCCAACTATAGCAGTAGACATAGAAGGCCATGAATGTTATGAAATCTGAGGCCAGGGCCCTTTAGGATGGTTTGTAAGAAGACACAGAGGAAGTCTCCATGAGATATAAGAAGTTTCAGGATGGGCCGTTAATAACAAATATTATGTATTATTATAGCAAAAGGCTTTATGTACTATAACACTGTTTTATTGAACAATTGTAATACTATGTAAAATATTAATACTTATCATTTACAGAAAGCATTTGAGTCTGTTTTCTTTGACTAAATACCATCTAAAACTTAAACTTGTCATCCCTTTTTCTTGATTTTAATGATCTGTTTGCAGCTTCACCAGTGCAATGGGTTGAGTGATTGACACAGGAAAATGCAGGTGGACAACCCTGAAGTTTTAGAGCATTCATTGAATTCTAGACCAGAATTTATCAACCTTTTTTGAGTCATTGCACCTTTAAAAGTATGCAATCATGAGGCAAATCTTGAAGCATTCCAGTCTATAATGTAAAGAACGACGTGTGGTCCCCCACCTCAACCAAGACCAAACCCTAGACAGGTGGTCTGGTATGGATTTTAGGGGGGCCCCAGGCAAAACAACAAAATAAGAGAGGATGTGAAGTTTCCTCTTTCACATCAGAGATCCCCCCCCCCTTTCGCATTAGAAGTCCCCCTTCATATTAGGATCCCTCTTCACATCAGAGACCACCTTTCCACATCACAAAACCTGGTTTAGAAAGGCTATTCTACATACACAACAGGACAGCTATGGAACATACCATAGCAAGCAATATTATTCATTATTTAAGACACAATAGACTCTGCCCAAAGCTCTTTAATGTAAACTGCAATACATTTGGGGAATTTAGGTGATTTAGGAATTTAGGTAATCCAAATAGCCAACTATTAAGGGTTTTATGTATGGTCGGGCTTAAGCCAATACCATAAGGACACAACATGTGCTCTCAATGGTAATTTGCTGCAGTTAACTTGTCACTCCACTAACTAGATCCCAAAGGTGTGCTATCCATCTAACATGACTTGACGGTACTTAAACATATAATAGGTGTACATTTGTCAGAAGGGTTTGTAGCACTGAGCCGTTACTGAACTGTAATTAGCTACACATATATAACACACATTGCCATATCGAAATCACTAAACTGAATCATATTATTCAGGTTAGAATACAATGCTTTCCATGGCACACATTGCAGCATATAAGCAATGGCAAAGAAAAATGAAGGCATCAAAAGGAAGTGAGCACGTCAGATTTAAAAGAAACCATCGCTGATCTCCTGAAAATGATAGTTCTTTTTGGCTTCAGTACCTTGAAGACCTGGAAAAAGCATTCAGATCAGAAAAGTGAGACTGAAGACAGCACCCCTAATCTGTATAATTATTCCAGGTCAGCCATTGGATTATCATGACATCCAGTGAAATACAGATAGTGAAATACAGATGCTTAGTAGAGGTCAATAACAAATAGGCCACAAAATGTGCATTCAGCAGTGTAGCCAAGCAGGAGGTCTTCACAGTGACTAAAGATGATGTGGTAATGGAGTGCTCACTATGTGGTCACAACACTTAAAACATATAGGAACCCATTACTATGACCATTTTGCTCATGAAACAGGTTGTAACCTAGTTATTGTTCAGTTTACAACTAATTAGCATTTCACAACAAAAATATGTATATACAATATTGATCTCAGGAACCTCAGATGACCCAGAATGTTTGCTTTATAAGAACATTTGTCAGAAGGAATTACGATCAAGCGTCAGTACGTCTATTATTTATCACATCTGTCACAGCAGTTCAACAATGATAGCATTCATATTGGGCTGGCTAGTTTAGTGGTTGAGAGTATGTGTCATGCACTGTGTAGAATATAGCTCATCATTCCGGGAGAGGGACATGGCGGACTGGCCGGTGATAGTCTTCAGAGCTGCTAATAAGATCTGAATAGTCATATCCTCTCATGAAATGTCCTCCATTTTGTTCAGCAAAGCTACATAGCTGTCTTGCAAATACTGGCTCAACCTAGAAAACAAAAGCATAACGCTGTGGTTAAAGAGTAAAACAAATGAAGCTTGCTGCTAATACAGATATATGCCCCCATTATAAAATTCTTATTGTTCTACATATATGAGGATTACTTAATAAGGCAAAGTGCGCTGACTCCCAATTTTGATATATGGGGATTTAGCTGAATGTTATATACTTTTACATTATCACAGTATAGCGCAGTGCGGGTGTGCTAAATATAATCTTCTTAGTTAATATTTTACTTTGGCAGTATTGCAACATACAAATATTAACCAGAAGGTATAGTAAACCAAAGCGCGGTTGTGGGAGGAAAAAACATATGAGGATTACTTAATAAAGCCAATCATATTTTATTTCTGTTGCCAAACTGAAGAACGATAGAAAGGTATAGCACCTAAATTGAAGCCATGTCAATTCTTCTCCATAGCATGCTGATCAATAGCAAGTCTTACACAATAAAAGCATGCCAATAAAAATACCAAACACATGGTTTCATAGGAATTCATAACAACATGAGTTAAATAGATATATTAAATGTCAAGAAGGAAAACGTGACAAGCAGCCGTGAGAGGTGAGGAAAACCACAAAAGTACTTACATGAGCCGTAATTAATTTCCTTCCTCTTTGTGGATCTGGAAATTCTTCTCCAAAACACAAAACAATTTGAAATCTCGGAACTGGGCGACCATGGTGAGCAAACGCCTGCAGTTCTGGTGAATGGATAAAGTGTTGTTATAGAAAATCCGTGACAATCAAATGAACACAGCATCAATAATTGTTTTATAGATAACAGCAATGTGGGTGTATTTAAAGAAAGGTTATAGCTGCAGACTTTCCCTATTAAGGTCATAATTATAGATGAGCCTTTGTTTGATTCCTACTATTCTTACTAAGCTGTCAATGCGATTAAAGCAAAGGCACCATGCATTGGAATTCAACCATTGGCCAAAGGCTTAGTCAGTCAAAATGAAAAGTTTTGGCGAACGGCCCAGGTTCACTTTAAAGAGTTGGGGGTACAGGGAGTACTTCTTTTTCTCATAGTTGAGGAGGAGATCATCTCACAAAGGTAGCTTCTATATGGGAAACATCTAGCTAAAACCCTCTCAGTACAGGTATCAACAGAAAACTCACAGCCAAGTTCAGCTTTTCTTTTTTAGTCACATTTTGAAAATTATGAAAAATCCTGAGGCACCCTAGTCTAAAATGTCATAAGAGGGGTCCCATGCAAAACACACAAAAAGTGGGTTTACCCCTTCACATTGAAGTCTCCCCTTCGAATCAAGATCCCCCTCCCCTTTACACCAGAGTCACTCTTTGCTTTAGTAACCTCCTTTCACATCAGAAGCCCCATTTTCATATCAGAGTCCCCCCCCCTTCACATCAGAGTTCCCCCTTTACATCAGGAGCCCCCTTCACATCACAGTCATCACAGTCACAACATTTTGAGGCATCCCTGAGGAGGGCAAGAGGCACACCTGGGTGCCATGGTACTCTGGTTAAGAAAGGCTGCCCTAGTTCACCCTGAGGGACTCATGCAATACACATTTTTGTTATATCTTTGAAATGCTGTCAATGCATGGACAAAAGAAAAACAAAATCCTGTATTTACAAACATCTACACATTTTAAACTTTTTAAAATACCTGTTAAAAACTGTTGCGTATCAAACAATTTGCAGGGCAAGTCCCGTTCTAGCTTATTTGGCCGTTCAGTGTACATAGACAATGGGCCCTCCCAATATATTCTGCTCTGGCACAGTCTCTTGGCATAAATTCCATCGTGGGCCATCCACAGGATGACACCACGCTCCAAGTGACTCAGAAGCTTCTCAATGTTTTTCCTCAGGCTGTTATCTTCCGGGAAAGGAAATAGGACTTGATCCAAGCGACTTGTTTCAAAGCACTGGCCATGTGCGATTCTACAGCCTTCTGGGTTCGATGTAATTCGCTCATCAACCAGGGTGTCACGATAATATAAGCTGATGTGAAGGCGGCAGTCTAGGTAAGAAATATACAATAGATAAAGCATAGCTTGTAAAAACGCAGTACAAAATAAAGAGATGTAGCTGCTTAGTGAGTGCATTGGTGACCTTGAACCATGCTGCTTTATAATCTTAATATACTTTTAATGTTGATCATGTTGATTAAACACAGTAGGGGGAGATGTTCTATGGCCAAAACAGCATTTATCCTGTCTCTTCCTTATAGGTCACTGCCACATAGCTTGTTTTATTTTTTTGGCCCACAGCTCATTGTTTTATCTCCCTATATACTATAGTTTCAATTCACAAAGCTTTAACACAAGGATAGAGATCTTTCATTGAACTCAGCTGAAATAATTGTCAATGTTTTGAACATAAATATTCTTATTCTGGGGTGTTAACTTTGAGAAAGGAGACTTGTTTCTTTTATCTAGCAAATATTAAGGTGGCCATATGCTTTGTAAATACATCCAGCACTGGACTGGGGTCACTTCCTCATAGATAAAAAAAAAAAAAAACACAAACAGTTCAACCTCTTTATGTCAGCTAATTCTGGTCAAAGCAGGGGTGTTTAAAAAAAAGATTACATCACATAGGTCAGGTCACTCACCTGATGCAATAGCCTCTCCTGACCGAATACTTGGTTCTATTGGAAGTCCCGGGGTTTGTGACTCTGTTGGCGGACATGCATAAAAAGATCCCGTAACTTGATAACCTACTTTAAAAAAAAAGTGTTGACAATACTTATTTATAGTATTTCACTCTTATGTTTAGCACAAATTTACATAGAGGAATTAAAAAAGGAAACCAATACCCATTGCTTGGTGCTGAGTCTAAAGAGCACATGATTCTCAGGCTTCAGTGTTGTGGTTTACATAGGAAATCTTTGTATATATTTCAGTGCTTTGACCAGAGGTTTTTGAAGCTTAGATGCCCAGACCAAGTTTAGCACTCTCAAAATGTGTCAGTGAACTTGACAATAACTCTGTGACTAATTTGTCTGTTTGATAGCAGGTCTGAGAACTGGGAACACACACAGCTGTACGTTCCTAGTTCTCTGCTGTAAGGTTCATTAGTATTTTAACAGCAAGGGCCATTTTACATTTGGACTTAAAAATGTCAGTCTCCAATGAGTTAATATGCTCATTTTAATTATTTTTGACACAGTGTTAATGTACAAGCCCAAAGTTTTGTTTTTCATTTTGATTAAAGTAGGGATTGCTTGAAACCCCAGTTAGTTTTATTGAATTTTACTTCATGTCCTGTCCTGTAGACACAGCAAGAAGTAAGAGGAAATCTCTTCAAAGTGATGGAAAATGCCGACTTTTGTTGACTATGTCCTCTTTGCAAGATTTCACCTCTTTTCTCGTTTCTGTGCCAGTGGCAACTCAAAATATTTTGATTTTCTCCTCACTTTCATTCCCTGTGACAATGGTCACCAGGACACATAGAGAGGGTGAATCTCCCCAACAATGAGAGGCAGCAATAAATACCTGACAAGGGCCCTAACCTCTCATCACTCTATCCAAAAGTAAGAAAAATTAAAGTTGTGCCCAGTGGCGTCACAAATGGGGTGATCTGGTGACACCATCAGAGGGGTGACTGACGGTCATTTTGGTGTCACCCCCTCTGAAAAGTAGGGGACATGGTCATGGCTGAGAGCCCGACAGCTGCACGAGAGAGGAGGGGACCTGGTGGTGTGCCTTATCCCACCGGATGAATGTCCCCTCCTCTCTTGGTGATAGACACCAGCAGTTAAGTGTGCATGATGTCATTAAGCGGGTGTGAGTGATGACTTCACGCGCATGCACAATGATGTCCCAGTGGGTGACACCTGATGTCCGCTCTGGCTGACAGCCCGCCTGGAGACGCCTCTGGTTTTGCCATTAGATACACTCTAATATCACCAGTACTAGTATTTTTGACTCACGTTGTTGCAGCTAACTTTAGTTGTTAAAAAGGAACAGATAGTCATTTCATTTCTCATTTTAAATCCATACGACCAGGCTGATATTAAGTTGATTCACAGGCATTACTAATACCATTTATTCTTTATTTTGGTTGAAAACAATATACTTGTAAACATTTTCCATCCCTCTTAGGTAATTTAGTAACTCACTGATTATGTAGAAGGACACACAGGGAATATGATTTTCTATAGAACAGGCCTATTGGGAGTTTGTCACAGGATGCCACACCAAATATATACACACTGCTATCACCTGCTCAAGGCAAAAGGCTCAGACTGACAAGTGTCAAATCCTGTTCACACTAATTGGTTGGCATGAGTCAGGTTAAAGCCCAACTCCTGGGACAAGACAAAAAAAAGGTGGACTCCCCCCACTCGTTAAGTCTAGGTATGCAGGGATAAGGAGTAATATGTAGCTTTATCCTCGCTCCAACAGGCTGCCTTTATCCGTGCAACCGGTCCACCATAGTCTCCTCTCTAAGACGCTCCCAGCCATGGTCACACACTCGCATCGTCTATGTACAATGCAGGGTTAATAGCCCTGCATGAAACATGATGACATTGAGGGACTGCCTACAGCCCAGAGCGCCAGGGAGAAGAGCAGAGTGACGGAACCTGGCAGAGCAGGGGGTAAAGTAAGTAATATCTCCTCTTTTTATACCCCCTAGACCTAAAAAACATTAGCCTTGTGGTGCGGGGGAGAGGGTTTTTTTGTCTTCTGTCTGGAGTTGAGCTTTAGGTCTGGAATAGGGCAAGATACTGAAGTGGAGGGGGTATTTATAAATATAGGAATCTCTGTTAGTGTTGCTGTTACCACAGAACTGCTGTGCACATACGCATTAAAAAAACATAAAAAAGAAGGTATAACCATGCCACCCTGCTGGAGCATCTGGGGATTGAAATGTCCTGCTAAAGATTGTCCTGCAGAGCTAGTCGCTGCCAGTGGACATTGCAAGGGGGGTTCCTGTCTAAATGCTCCAGAGGATACATGTCCTGCTCTATAGTCTGAAGAGTACAGAGTGCTGGTTCCGGCTTATACAGATTTGGCCAGCTAACAAACATTTTGATCCGTTCTGGTATTTGTTAGGGGTTGTTTATTACTAGTATTATTGATGATACAATTTTTCATCACATTAATACCCTATAATGAATTATTTTCATACTCACATGTATGTGTCTGATAAAAGTAAGCATTAATAGACTAATTAATAAAAAGTCTGTAAATTAAAATTTTTACCCTAAACTTATTTTTTACCTTAAACATTAACACACAGCCTGTGGCGAAGAAACAGATAACCGACCAACAGTTAACCACATCTACTGATTTCCAGGCAGTTAAGTTTCTATTTTATTCAGTTCAGTGATTTCTCTTATGAACTCCAGTGAAGTCATACAAAATGTCAACTTAGCTTATCACAATCTTTTTGATCTAGTTCTACTCCAAGTACAAAATGCTACTGATTTCTAGAAAGTTATACTGAGGTCATCAAACCGTTTTGGATAGAGTAGAGAAGGGTTAGACGCCCCCTGTCAGACCTGTTGAACAATGTTACTGGCACTGAAAGTGAGGAAAAACCTAAAATTTTGAGTTGTCACTGGCACAGGTACAGTATAGAGGGGAAAACCTCAGATGGGAGCAGTTGTTCCGATGACATGATTATTTTGGAGAGATCTAGCTCAATTTTTGCTGTGTCTTGAGACTGAAAGTGAAGAAAACTCTCCCCAATGGGCCACAGACAGCAAAAAAAAAAAAAGCTTTTCAGGAGTTTTAACCATTCCCTACTATACCCAAAAAAGGATTGTAAGATTTAGTATACTAGCCTATTATAGCTTTACCCTATTAAACTAAACCTATTGTGTAAATGAAGATGACACAGTGAACCACTCACAGAAAAAAGGGCACCACATCAAGGCTGAAGGTTCCTTTAAGTTATGTGTCCCCCTCTTTGTGAGGCCATTGAACCCTGGTAAATTTCCTACAAATATGGATTTTTTGGAAGTTGTTTTTTCATATGCATAGGTATACCCTCACTGTCCATGTGACTGACAAAAGGACACACTGACATTCTATCAGTTGGATAGAGGCAGGGCTCTCTTCTTTCCCCATACACCACAAGTTGGGGATTTGTGGCAAAATAGCACTGTTAGGAGGGGTGCATGGAGACCTCTAGCCCCTCACCATAACCACTTTCTTGGGTGTGATTCAATGTAGTGTCTTTAAATAGATTATCTATATAGGTTTCCTTCAAAGAATAAGTGCACTTTTAGACTGCACAGGCCCGGCCTAGAGAGAGAGGACTTGCAGATGTCAGATCAAGGTAAATATATATACTATATATTCTAATACATGCAGATTAAGGGGTTTTTTTTAAACGTTAATACTGATAAGATTATTTACTTTAAACAGATCACATTTTATATATCCAAATACAACTGTAAATGACATTAGTTTTTCCCAAACACACATCTCCTTTTGTTGGACAACAGTTAATTATGTGTCTACTTAATTAAAGACAAATTTATTTTTGGACAGGATTGGATTGTTTTGAAAAAAACAACAGAGGAAAAAACCCGTAGCCTGCACCCTGAAAAGAACAAATGACCATTGGCTGATAACATTTGAATTGGCTGGTAAAGTTACAATCATTCTTAATGTATACTCCACCTAACTATAGGCCAAACCTACTGAACTTAATATGTAAGATGGAGGCTTTTCATGGCTATGACGTCTAAGAGATGAGCTCTATTAGGACCAAAACTGCTCAGGGCACTTTCTAACCAGATATTATAGCGTATAATCTATATAATAATATATAAATATAATCTATTGCATTTTTTCTGTCTAGCACAAATAGTTTAACAAAATTCTAGTTACAGTCAAATCATGCACGTTACCTAAAACATTTTTTTTTTTCAAAATGTAACTACACAAAAGGAAACAGTAACATCAAGTGAACTGTAACTAACAGGCTGTTTTGCTTGAGTTACCTTTCTCTAATCAACACAAGCAAAGAAGAAAGAAGTTGAAGCAAGGTACATACTGTTATCACAGGAAGTGTTTTGCCATAAGTGACTACGTGCAGCAAAAGGGACACTTGCACATTGGTAAGGAAGATCAGGATGTGGTTGTTCTGGTGCGTAGTCCCTCCAGCTCCGCTCGTGAGACATCATAAAGTGTGGCACCTGTCAAAGAGGAAGATGCAGCTTCTATTATTCTGTTCAGATCACATTAGAGAATAAGAACAGTTTTATTATGACTGCTGTAAATAATGTCATGCTGTATACAATGTCACTGTGCTGCCTGGGTTTACTTCACCTTATGCAACAGGACCTAACCAATAGCATGAATAGGTTCATGTGAACAGCACTTCAGAGAATGAGGAGCAGCATTTTTCAAGGGGAAGTATTTCACAGATAAGGTATTCTCTGCATCTGAGTTGGTAAGTTTTTTGGCAGAGGACTTGCTTGTTTTCCAATACATATTCTCCTGGGGCAGTATAAGGTGGGTATACTGCAGAAGGGGATTAGTTTAGCATCAGGTGTTACTTTAGGGAGTTACGTTATTAAGAAAATAGTGCATGCAAGATTTTTGATCTATTCTGGTGCGTTCAAATGAATGCCAATAAGCAATGCATGTTGAAGCATGATGACGTAATGTGCATTAATTGGATTAAAAAGATTGTCACAATAGGGCATGGGGAGAAACTGCCATGAAGGGCATTTACCAATGCAAAATATGTTTTAAAATACCATGCAGAGGGGCTTTGTATTAATGCAACTTCAAGGACAACCTGTGAAAACCCCAATCTTTTAAATGATATATTTGGGAGATGCCTTTAAGCTGTTTTTGGTATTTCGGAAAAGTGTGATTCTCACAGACAGCATCAGCAACACCGTATTCTGGCATAACATATTTTGGATGTGTAATTGGTTATAAAACTTTAACTTCTAGCTTGGCCTAAATACAACAGTAACATCCCAATCTGATTCATTATAACTTAAAAAAGTATAGGATTTTTGTGATCAACTTAAAATCCTTTTCTTGGAGGCCACAGAGTGTCATATGATTCAGAGACAAGTAGTAGGCCAAGGTATCTTGGCCGTGTTTGTGGGAGGAGTTGCGGCGGCTCTCCTCCCCTTAAGAAGGGTGACAGGGAGCTCCTCGTGACGTCACAGCGAGGTCGCGTCTGACCCTCCCGCCCTTCCCCAGGTTCTATCATTTCACTAGAGCGTGCCCCCTTCCCCTTATTTGGCACGCTGACCACAAAATCATGGCACACATCAGGTTGGTATCAGTAGGGGTCATGAACACTTCGGAAGCCTAAGTAACTCTGACCACAATTGAGTTATATTACCTTCTACAGGAGGATTTAAACACTGCCAAATGAAAACCACTGACCAGCCTGGTAAAAATCCCAAGGAGTGACATGTGAACACACAAAGGGAGCCACAAGAGACACCCTATAAAAAGGTCTTAATCAAAGAATAGGAGGCTAGATTTATTTGGAACGAGACTGCACGCATTAAGATTTGGTACTCAAGGTGTATGTTCACTGATAGGAGACTCATACAAGAAATAAGACAAGAGACATCCACTAACCGACCTATACAGTAGGGCAGGGCTGCTGGCATGGCATGAGGCATGGTAGGAGTGGGAGAGGTTATACTAGGCTGGTTACTGTTTTTTTTATTTGCCAGTGTTCATATTCTCCTGTAGGCAGCAGTATAACCCAATTATCTCTGAATCCTGTGTCTCCAAATGAAGAAAGAAAAAGATGATTTAAATAGTTTTGACTCCAACACCTGATTTTTTTTTTCCCAGTGGTATAGGTCTGAGTTGAATGGTGTAGAAGCCACAACATATCCAAAAGCTATGGGAAAGTTTACTCTTATGTAAGAAATAAAGCTAAAGCCCTCAATTTTGAACAAATGAATCAGTGTCACAGTTTGGTATAGCTTTTCACCTTGTTTTTATGCAATACCACACTTCATTGTCTTGAAAGTTATCATAATTCCAAAACACAAAAGCACTTCAAAACCATAACCTCACGTTTCCCAACCCCTCTCATGTCCCCAGTTTTTCACAAAACATCCAAAATAGTCAGGTATGTGTTTCATAGAAATTGGCTAGTGTCAGGACAGTAACACTTGAATAAGCAGCAAACAGAATGTGCTCTGCTGTGTGGGCCTTTTTTTTTAGCATATCTGCTGCCAACAGCACTGTTGTGGTATGCAGCCATTTCTTCGGTGCATCAGCCGTAGTAACAGTACCGGTCATTTAGGTACCACATGCATAAGGAAACACATGGCTCTGCACCACAGAGTTTGGTGGGAGCAGAACCTCAGTGAGACAAGCTGGCAGCAAAAGGCACACTCTCTTCGTCCTCCTCAAGGGTGCATGGCAGCAATATTTGTTGGGCCTGCTAATGTGCCCTATTCCTCTTCCTCCTCAAGGGTACATAGCAGCAATGTTTTAATTTGGCCAAGTTCCTTAAGCTAAAACCCCTCCAATAAATTCTAGGTGCCAGCAAGGAATAGGAAATATGCCCTTTCAAAAGCACACTTTCAGCCTGTTATGACCGTAGACAGTGCATGTGGAGAGGCACTGAGCAGCAGTAAAATTTAAAAATACTTCCCTCCCCCACCCCCAAATTCCACAAGATACACAGCATTTTGCCACCTAAAGGACATTCAGCATAGGTTTTACATCAAATGTAAGCTACCAGTGCCTTCAAGCCCTATACTAAACTGTGTCATTATTAGTAGCTCTCCATATGCTTTCCCTAAGCATATTGTCACTATGGCTGCTGGGAACCCTGCCTTTTTTATAGTGGGGCTTTGGAACATACCCAAGCCCCCATTACTGCCAATTTTAATGCCCTGTCTGCAAAGTGCAAACCCGAATCTCCTGCCTATTCAAAAGTCTTTTCATTTATCTGAAATCATTGCTTGTATTATGTATTGTACCACCACAATATTACTGCACAAATGCATAATTCCTTTTGTAATGGCCGAAAGACAGGTACATTCAGAGTTTTGCACATATTTCACTAATTTTCATATATAAGGCCTACATGAAACGCAGATATGATCCACATTTTATTTCAGCTCACCGGCCTGTTTTAAACATTGCAACACACTACATTTCATAACAAAGCTGTACATGCTCTTAACCAGTAACTTTAAATCACAAAATCTATTATTCATTTTTATTTGCATGCAAATACCTGAGAATGAGGCTGAAGAGATGTGTAAGCTTGTGGTACAGCGAATGGATGATTTACTAATGGAGTGTCTTCTGAGCCAAGCTGCTTTAGTCCTATAATTAAAAAAAGACAAATATATAAGCAATGCAACAGAACAGAACTTAACTTTTCAGTATTATTATTATTATTATTATTATTATTATACAGGATTTTTATAGCGCCAACAGTTTGTGCAGCGCTTTACAATATAAGGAAGAGATTACAATCACAATACAATTCAAGACAAGATGGTAAGGAGGGCCCTGCCCGTGAGAGCTTACAATCTAAAACAATCTAAAAGTATTAGTTTAATTATATATTATATTACACAGATCTAAAGTTTAAACATTAAAGGAGAACTATGAGGTGAGTGCTTTTCACTCACCTCATAGTTCTAGCTGACCTGTAACAATGAGACTGTCACAGGTCGGCTCAGTAGATCGGAAGTGAGCGAACACATACCCCCACCCCGCTCCGATCCACCAGCGCTGACTGGCGGAACAGGCGGGGGCGGGTACAGCTGGACTTTAATAACATCTTTTAGAACACACTCTGATCATTGTGTCTTTCTTGGTGTTGTCTATAGGTTTTCTTTTAACAGTTATTGCTATATTAGGGATAGACTACTAACAATGGAAGAAAGAACATTAACTGGCTATGCTGGGAGAAAATTATAGAAAATGTTCAACACCTTAAAAATCCCATTTGTGTGTTGTGTTGCAGAGAGCTAAGGAGATAGAAGGGCTATTTGACTATGCTGGGAGAACTGTAAAGACAGTGAATTTCCTCTGAACATTTGAAGTGGAATCCTGATGGTGTACCATGTGTGTAGCTACATTGCTGAAGAATCCTGGTTTCATAGTTTATTCATGGTAATATAATAAGGCGTCTATTTTAAGAACTAATATATATCTGACAGCTCCTTGCTGTGGAGTGCAAGGAGCTTGTTGAAGGGTCTGGAGCCATTGACCTAATTGTTTCAAGTTCAGTTCTATCCCAATAAAATATTCTGCTAACTGAAGGTTGTGTTAATGTTTTAAAATGATTTCTTTGTGCTAAAGACAAGAACATAACATAGATACTTAAGATAGAACTGATGTTTGGACTTTTCTAACTTCTTCAATGGTTTGTATACAAGTTTGTATACAGGTCATTGCTTATGAGCAGATAACCTTTCCTTTTTATCAGTTTTCCATGAGAACAAATCAATTGGTAACATGTAGGGGGAAGAATATCCTACCTTTCTTTGCGCCTTCTGGGATGATTTTGTACACCTTATATGGATCTGATATATCCAGTTGACTTCTTTCCACTAATTCTTCAAAGTCATTACTCTTATTTAAAGCACATCGTAGCCTCGTCTTCCATGTAGGAGGATCTGGTTTGTCAAGACCTTCCCGAAATTTGCCTTTAAAAAGTGCCCAGGCCTGTAAAATGTGATAAATACATACTTCAATCAAAAAGAAGGATTGCAATACCAACAGATCATTCTGTAGGAGCCAAAACAGCCAAATCAGAGAGTCCAATGCAATCATCAAATACTTTATGTATTATAACATTTTCCCACCATAGCCCTCTCTGTGGACACAGTTACATGGTTACTGAACATTGCACTATTTTAAATAAGATCCAGAGTTCCTAAAAACGCCAGTGGGCTAGAGATACTGGTGAACATGCCCCCACACACATTTTACCTATACAATTTACTATTACTGTATAAAGAGAAGTAGAAAAAAAAATTAGAAAAGAGGCGTTGACCCCTACAACAGTCCACGCTTACGCTAAGAAAGGTGGTGCAGCAGCTGTTACATAAAAGCACATAAAATATATGAAAAGTATTCTCAACAGCGCCACCGCTACTTTAGACATGGTGCTGTGATGTGATGAAATGTTTGGAGAGATGTGGCGAAAGTATTGGAGAGCCAGTAGCAATGCAACACCGCTGGTATAATTGCACTATTCTGGCAAATATTATAGTTCATATAATCTAGTACTGAAGCTTACTTGTGCAACATGGAAGTTTTGCTGCCACATGCAAAATGGATTGAAATCTAGCTCGTTAGCTAGGCATGGCCTGTGGCTCACATTTCATGTATTTGGTGTAACATTACAATTTCTATTGCTCATTTGCTCCTTACCATCTTGTCTTGAATTGTATTGTAATTTGTATGTAATTTGTATTGTATTGTAATTGTCATGCATTCCTTATATTGTAAAGCGCTGCGCAAATTGTTGGCACTATATAAATCCTGTATAATAATAATAATAATACACCTAGGACCAAACTGCTAGGAGAGTACTCCCACAGTTTGCCCTGCTCTCTTTGGTGTACTGACAGAGCAGGCAAACTGCCTCAGCTTCTGCATCTCTGGCTTTGGCCTGCCTTGTCTATGATGTCTGATCTTGTTAGTGTGCTAAGCTGGCCATACACTTCATGAACCAGCCAAAATTCGCACAGTGGGTGCCGCTGTTGACTGGCAAAATTTTTAAACGAACGGTGCTCCCAGTGGCTGCTGTCAGAATACAAAGGAAACTGCGAGGGAAGAATGAAAAAAGTAAAACAGTGTATAGCCAGCTTTACTAAAGCAAGATAGACTGGGGTAGAAGTGGGGCAGCACAAGACAGTAGACTTAAGGAGTGGGCAGGAAGTATCAATACCTAACATGGGGAAGAATCTATCATTTATCAAATGCAAACAATTGTGCATAATACATAATAAATCCTGTATAATAATAATAATAATACACCTAGGACCAAACTGCTAGGAGAGTACTCCCACAGTTTGCCCTGCTCTCTTTGGTGTACTGACAGAGCAGGCAAACTGCCTCAGCTTCTGCATCTCTGGCTTTGGCCTGCCTTGTCTATGATGTCTGATCTTGTTAGTGTGCTAAGCTGGCCATACACTTCATGAACCAGCCAAAATTCGCACAGTGGGTGCCGCTGTTGACTGGCAAAATTTTTAAACGAACGGTGCTCCCAGTGGCTGCTGTCAGAATACAAAGGAAACTGCGAGGGAAGAATGAAAAAAGTAAAACAGTGTATAGCCAGCTTTACTAAAGCAAGATAGACTGGGGTAGAAGTGGGGCAGCACAAGACAGTAGACTTAAGGAGTGGGCAGGAAGTATCAATACCTAACATGGGGAAGAATCTATCATTTATCAAATGCAAACAATTGTGCATAATACATGGCGCTGAATCTAGGATCTATAATCACTATATATCTATATATAACTGACTCTAAATATGGCATGGGTAACATGGTCCTGCATCTGTCATGTATAGATTGGGCTGGAGATTAAAGGGTAGGGTTTATGGAACTAGGGTTTATGGAACTAGGGTTTATGTGACTATAGGCATTTAAGATATAAATTTGACTCTGACTGATGTCACAGCTATATATAACGTATCCATCCATGCTAACTTGCTATGTTATACAGGCTGTAAATACAGCTTTATATTCAACCCATGTGTAACATACGTAAAAAGAAAAAAAAAAAACTCTCTTTGTAACATAAGTCTGGAGCGAATCCTGACGTGTGTCACAGAAGCACTTTTTTTCCTGCCTTTGATTTCTTAAATGTTAAGCATGGTGTATTTTTCAGTAAAGGTGGGTTTCTATTGGAAAACACTGAGCACACAGGAAGTGACTACCACATTACAGTTTCTCCTGCATCAGATAATTGAGCTGCCTATTCCAATGTAAAGCCTCAACATCGTAGTACTTAGAATTAGAAAAACAGACAGCCCTCTGCTGGTAAATGACTCACTGAAAAGTTCTCTTTACCAGGACAGTACATAGTAAGTCAGAAGATGTGGGAGGTGGAAAGAAATCGACTTATTTTCCTATTTTCATTTACAATAACAAAATACTGGGTATTTAAACGTACTGATTTGTCAGTTTTAACATGTTACCATAAACCTTGTATTTATACAGAGAATCATATTACGCTGCTCAAGTAGTTTTACATTTAAACCTTGTGCCTCAAAACTACCATTGCCTCTCATATATCATCTTTATTTACTATTATTTTACACTACTATTTTAAAACAGCATTCTAATTCCAATCACTATTATAGATCAATTATATGATCAATAAATAGTGTATGTCGTTTTTGTATATGCATGGTTTTGCAGCAGCCCTTTCATCTGTACCATTGTCATTGTTGCACTTGATGCAATTACAGGAAGACAGGGGTAGCCAAACCTCAGCCCTCTAGCTGTGGTGAAACTATGCATCCCATCATGCATTTGCCTCTTGGAGTCATGCCTGTGGCTGTCTTGCAATGCCTCATGGGATTGGTAGGTTCACCTCAGCTGAGGGGGACAAAGATGGGCTGCCCCTGCTCTAAGACAATAATGCACTTATGTATTAGTACTACTTCATTATACATTTTGTGGCTGATGTATAAACGTTCCACCCAGCATATAGCTTGATGAATGCCATTTGCACAGAATTCCAGCTGTTCACGCGGCATTCCTATGCTCCTGGGTTCCATATAGTGCCAGGAATTCTGTGTATCATCATTTTATTAGAATTCCTGACAAATGTTTTTTCCAGCTGTTTGTGTCCCACTGGGAAGATTCAGCTTCCCTTTTTGTCCAGGTGACCATTGTCACTGAGCCAGAAACCAATGGGAAATCCTAAATTTTACAGTTGTCACCCAACCAAGAGGTATTTGCTGTACGTTACCTGCATGTTATGTTGCATGTTAAGATGTATTGCAGTAAGACAGAACATTAATTATCATTTGGCTGCCAGCGCACTACAACAGACCTAATTATGAACCTGCATCTTTTTTTTTAGCCCACCACAGTACACAAATGGCTCATATTTGTACGTTTTGGTACATTGGAGATGTGCACTGAGATGCCATTCAAAATGAAAATGTGGGCAATGCAAATAAGTAAACCTGGCTTAAAGCTGACTTGTACCTCTTTTCACTAAAAAAATGACATAAACATGCAGCCCTGCAAGCTGATATTAAATCATCTTACATTCATTAGTTAAACATTTCTTGCTTCTACCTACAATTACTCTTTTTTTCCTGGTTGAGTAAGGCACTGGTGATGTAGCCCTGGCCTCACAGATGCATTCTGGGAAGGCTTCATCACCAGTGACTTCCAGGGAAATCTAATCTGCAAGCTGAAAAATCAAAAACGAGATCTCGGGGGAAAGGCATTTTTTCCCCATAGACAATACGCACTGTCACATGTTCCTGGATGTAGACCCAGAGTTCTGGGAAGTAAAGGAGGTGGAGTCATCTGCCCATAGTAAAAATGGCCACTGTGAGAAGAATGGGTAGGAAAATAAAAATAAGGTATGCAAAAAATAAAATGCCTCCAATTATCTAAGTGTTTGTAGATTGTCATTACTGAACATTTCTAAAAGTGTATTTGTTGTCATTTTTAGCTATATATGTACTTTGAGTAACAAAACAGTGAATGATTATGCATAAGCTTGCAAATGTATTCCTTTAATCTTTTCTTATTAAATCAACCCCTGGGGCTTCCATTCCTAATATCTTCTTCTGAAAATACTAGTTGCCTAGCTATCATGCTGAGTAAGTGGCTATAGTTTTTTTTATCAGTCACTGACCTGCAAAAAATAAGTATGCAAATCAGGAAATCTGACTTCACTATGACCTTTTCAATCGGCATAGGTTGTCTAGATCAGTGTCTCAGAATACCGATGCCACAGACAGCCAGGCAACTAGAATTTTCAGAAGGGAGTCAGCGTTAAGGAATTTGCGTGTTCTGTCCATACAGGTTTTCTCTAACTAAGACAGGTTCGTAAAAAATTCCAGGAGCCAGGTCGCCAATGCTTCTGAAAAATTACAGCTGGCGCCTAACTTTTAAAGTTTTCTCTAGTTGTTAATGGAGCTGACTTCACCCCTGGACCAAGGCTTGTTTCTCTACCCCTGGACTAAGGCTTGTATCTCCAGAAAGGGATATCTGGACTAAGGCTTGTATCCCCACCCCTGGACTAAGGCTTGCATTTCCACCTCTGGATTAAGGCTTATATCCCCACTCCTGGACTAGGGCAGTATCTCAACCCCTGGACAAAGGTTTGTATCTCTACCCTTGGACTAAGGCTTGTATCTCCACCTGTAGACTAAGGTTTGTATCTCCACCCCTGGACTAAGGCATGTATCTCCACTCCTGGACTAAGACTTGTATCTCCACCTCTGGAAAAAGGCTTGTATGTGATACCATGTCTGGAGCAGACTTTGATTTTCTGTTCTAAGTACTCTTGGAAGTCATGGATAAAAGGGTCCAGAGATGTGTCAGTGGTCGCTGTTCCAAACACAGGATACCCCAGTGTAGAGCAGAAAAGAATATCAGTGAGCACTGATGTCTGAGACTACCAGGCTGTCTTTGTAGTATCTCTATAGTGGGCATTGTACACTGCTGCTAATACTATGCAGAAGGACTCAGACTACACTGGACACAGTGCCAGTCACTGTTTAGTACAGGTCCTTAAAACACTAAACTTGAAGAAGTAACAACTGTATTTGTATTATATATTTTATTATAAAGCCATGCTCTTCTAAATACACAATTTGGTTAAATAAAGCAGTGCACTTTCTAACACTTTGAATGGTCGAAGTGAGATATTTCTTAAGATTAGTGCACATAGATTCACTCTCACTTGTTTCCATATATATTTAGAAAGACGACTACACAGTTTGCACCACAAACCACAAATTCACATAAAACAGATCCATTCAAAGCCACAGGCAGTAAAGTACAAGACTGGAGAATATGAATGGACTCATTCACCAGCCAGTCAGATGTACACTTAAATGTCTTTTATAAGACATGGTAAATATTGTTATTGCATTGTTCCGGACATCAACAACCATTGTGATTCAGAGTCTTACTCTCCTTAATTTGCAAGGACAATAGAGGCCTTAGGGTTATGATTTACTCAGGGTTAGGAGTCAGATATGTGGGAACATCTGAGATGAGGTGGTTGTATACTTTATGTAATCAGCTTACCTGTTCCTTTAAACCAAATCTATACCTCTCCTTCTTAGTAAAGATGAATGGGATCACTATTCCGGTCTGTACACCTCAGTACACTCTTATTTTCCCTTAGATCGTTATATTTTCTCTTATAATCTTCATCAGACTTTAAAAGCTGCCTGTATATTGTCCGTTTATATCTCCACTTTACCCATCCAATGGTTTTCATTGATCCCGACAGCACTTTATGCTAATGCATTTGGCTTCTTTTAGTACATCTACTCTAATACTTATTCCTTAACGCTGAGTGTATTTTGTAAAAATGGATACTGTGACTGATTCGCTGGATGTACATGTACTACATGTATAGTTTTTTTCTCTTGTGCAGCCTGTGAGCTAACCAAGAGAAAACAACTTGAATCCACCATCCCTGCTAAACTGCTTGGATCAAGAAAATTTCCCTGCTGCCTACTGTATTCTGACAAACAGTACCTGTGGCTTTCCGAATACACAAACAATGACTGTAGTTGATTGGCTCCAGTCACTGATCAACCAACAGTTTTTCTCCCGAAAAACTTATACTCACAGTTAGAATTTCATCAAATTCACAGTAATTGGCCCAAATTCTACCAAAGTTAAAACTTTGCAACACCCCTGAGGCATGCATGTTTGTGCACATCAAAAGACTTTGTACATTTTTTTTATACTCCCCTTGATGTCTGATAGACAAAGATATATAGAGAAATGTTTGATTGTCTGATAATTAAGTTGCAGGAGTGATTTTATAAATATTTGGTGGTTTCAAATGATGACTACCGCAACTCATGGAGTATGTGAAATAGCAAACAGCCTGCAAACAGTAGCAGTAGTTGGATTCTTTCTCTTACATTATCACTCATAAAAAACAATTAGTTGCAAATGCTATCATTAATTTAAGACTGGAATTGTCTTTTTCTTGGATTTGCACAGCGTGGCAATGGATTTACATTATCTGTGCATTTGGGGAGTCTTTAGATGCTAGGAGGGAAGGAATATTGGTGACAGTTTGCAATGACCTTATCTGGACAGTTTCAGCATTTTAGTTTGCATTGATCTTTATCTGGGTTGATATATACTGTTCAGGACTTATTCTGACAGGGGCACACGCATTGCTGTCAGAATACAGTAGTCAGCAGGGGTTATTCTCCTATCCATGCTGTTAACACGTATGGGGGAATCAAGAAGTTTCTTTTGCTCTACCTCCAGGATTGAATGAAATAAAACGCACAGTGTATGGCCAGGTTTATTTTGGGGTTTCTTCGAGGGAGGTGTTACACTGCCTGAACGTTTATAATAAAATAATTTGACTTAATAAAAAGATATCCCTGTAAGTTCATCACAAGTCTCCATTTAGTCTTTTATGCATATGGCATTTTGTCTTAGGAGAGGATGGCACCGCACTAACTGCTTTAGGAAAGTAACAGAGTCAGTGTAGGGGATATATA